TTTTTTTGCTTTGTTTTTTTTTTTTTTTTTAGATTATTTCGCGCTATTCTAATGAAGATGGTGTTAAGGCATTGGGACCATTTGCCGATGATATTTGGTTTGTAATTATTATCCCGAGAATTATACATAGACGTCAGCGTCAGTAACAGATGATCGGATTTTTTAAACGTGTTTAGGAATATACTGTTTCAGAGTGGTGAAAATATCGAAGAAGGAACTAGAGGCGTTGTAGCGGAGTGCCTTGGCAAATTGACTTTGGCGAATCCAAATAAATTTTTGCCTGAATTACAGGTGTTATCAAACTTTCACAAATTATTTTTAACCTCCTTTTTTCTTTTATTAAAAAGAATAACTATAATTTACTTTCTAGAAACGACTTCGGTCTGATTCTGCACAAACTCGTGGTACTGTTGTCACAGCTATCAAGTTCACCTTTATTAATCAAGGCCAAGAATATGACGAGTTGTTACGACCTCTTATTGTTGACTTTTTGTCCTCGATTCAAGACAATGAGTTGGTTGGTATTATTAATACTTTTTTAAGAATTATTATATTTACGCGCATAATTTAATACTAGTTTATTTTAAACGCTAGAATGTTAGAAGACTTTCATTATCTACACTGAACTCTGCCGCTCATAATAAGCCTTATTTGATTCGTGATGTTTTAGATCAACTCTTGCCGTTACTTTATGAAGAAACACTCATTAAAGTTAATATTAATTATTTTAGGGCTTATTTTATAGACAAGCATATTAATTGTTACTTTTTTTGCACTTAATAGCTGTCTCTCATTTGTTAGAAAAATCAGCTTTTTAGAACTTATGAACGTAACACAAAAAAAAGGCCATAATCTTTTGGTTTAGTTAAAAAATCAAAAGTTGGTAGTTTTTTTTTAATCGGGTTACAATTTTACGTTATCTTTTAGAGATCCTAATTTTATCCAATCGGGAGTGCAATTTACCGATTTCCAATAGAAACTTGGGGGAAATTAGTAAACTTATTTCTGGGTGATATTATGATTAGTAGTAGTGCTCCGACCCAGGTAGGTGGCACCGGGTGGGCGGGTGACCCGGGTTGAGTTATGACCACTCGGGTGGTCAATCTGCGGGTCGGTTAGATAAGCGAAATTTTGAGTTATTTTAGAATCAATTCCAAAATTTAAAGAATTAAGCATGGAGACACTTTTTAAAAAGACACCGCAATTTTGCAAGCAGTTCATTATTACTAGAATTCTAAAAAGTTTGCTTGCTGTGTATGTATCTTCGTGTTTTAAAATGCTCAAGAAAAGTTTTTATAACATTTCTCGTTTTATATGTACTACCTCATAAACTATAAATATCCGGTGTGCTAAATTGTTATCATGTGAATATTGTAGATCATGCTGTGTATTCTTTTTATACCCGTTCTTATAATTATGGACAACCGTAGTATATTGCAAAACATGCAAAAAAGTAGCGGAGGGAATATATAAGCGATGTGGATGTGGTAATTGTAAAAGATGACCTCGAATAATTAACGTTTATTAATAAAATAAATCAGAATTAGCGATTTGGTATACATATATAATTTTCCATAATTGTCAACAAAGATATTCATTAACATGTGTTAGAAGAGTGCCCTAATTTTCCCACCACATCTAATTGGCTGTACTAATTATTCATTTATCGGAGCCAATCAAATTTCACGATCAGGTGTAACGTAAAAGAAACGCAAAAAAAAATGCAAATTAAAAATCGCCCAGAACTCTAAATTCAATATATGAAACTGTCTTCTACGCAATAATAGAAAATTTTCCTTGTAAAATTTTGGTATAAGAAACGTCTTATAATTGTAATATAATTCCAAAGCGAATTTTTACTTGAAAATTTTTTTTGATTACTAATATAAATACTCCAATAATTGAATAATTAGTACAGCCAATTAGAAGTGGTGGGGAAAATTAGTAAATCTCCAAGTTGCGGGTTTTCACTCTTACGTAATTTTCTATATTACAATCAATCAAAACGATTTGTGAAAATCACATGATGTGGACATCAATAAAGTC